GTGGGAGGAGAGAGAAGGGAAATGAAGTTGTAATATAGAGAGAGAAACATAAGAGGGAAACACGTCGTCGTTGACAACAGCATTAACCAAATCAACTCACTTCTTTCTCATTTCCCGTGTATTTCCCCAACCGAAATACCTAAAACTAATTCATTTTAAAACAATATTTCTATATAACATGCTTCCACATTTTATTTCTTTTCACTTAATTGTTTCCACAAAAAACTAATCAAAATTTTTCATTACCAATTTTAGATACTTACAAAATTAAGAAAAAATATACATACAATCTATCTATGTATACTTATAAATGAGAAGTCACTTTTCCTACGTGGAGACTTCAGAATGATTTTAAGAGTTGATATGCCCAAAATACCCTTAATGAATGCTTGTATTTAGAAGTCTGCCATCGATTTTTTCTTGACCAAAATAACCCTAATTCGTTTGGTGATAATTATTGGGGTTAAACCCGTTTTTTGTGGCCCATTCTATTTTACGAAAACCCTAGCCACCATCTTTACAATTTCTTATATATATTGTTCTGGAACAAGACTCGGTGATCGTCTTTTTTAACATATGTTTATTTTTTTAGTGGGCTTTGTTTTTCCGCATGTTTCATTGTTCTTATTATGATATTTTTATGGGAAATCGTTTGGGCACAGATTAATTTGATGTAATTATCAAGTCTAGGGTTTTGATCCACGCTTATTATATAATCTCATATTTATTGTCTTGCAGACAACATCTTTCACAGGTATATATTTTTTATATGTTCGTCTAAATAATTATTTGTTTGCAGTTTTTATGGTTTGTTATCGACGTTGAGCCATGGACCAATCTTCATGTAAAGTCGACGAGCTCATTCAAATTCCTCCGATGCGCTTGGTCAACGACTCGACCACTCATGAGAGAAACTCTGAGAAAAGTGAAGCAACGACGAGAATCATGAAAAAACCCAAGATCCGACGACCCACGTTTCTACCCGAACAAAGCCTTGACCCACCACAACCGTCGATCCACCACCGTCGCAGAGAAACGGCAAACGTAGTTTACAGAGAAACAGGTACCGAATCGTCGGATGATGATGGTAGTGATGATCGTGGTGGTAATGGGATCCGCTAGACGAAGAACCCATCGAGGAAGGTGAAGAACACGCGCCGCCTTGTCCGATGGTATCTCCGTGGTCTAAATCCGGAGAGACGGTGTTGTTGAATGTGTTGCAGTAATCGGAGGAAACAGAGGGTCGTTCGGAGGTGGTTTCTAAGGAATCTCTGACACGGCGGCGTGTGGTGGTGAGTCCGACAGTGATTTGTGCAACGGCCAAAGGGGTCGCACCGGCCGCCGACATATCGCCGCCTGAGAAGCAAAATCAATATCGNAAAANCGCNGAAAAAANGAAANNNAAAAAANTTTATGTNTGATATGAAACTATATTCTCAGGTTCCACAAGCTCACTTAGGTGTTTGAGATTCAACACTTCCACTCCGTTCACTCTCTTCACCTATATAGGAATTGATAAAACTAACTATATATAATCATGGCCGCTTCATATTATTTTCGGTTGAGAATAAGAATAAAATGATATAATTTAATATTCAATAGATTAGCATGGGGTTATGTCATTCACTAAGACCTACACCAACACAATAATTCAAAGACAATGTTATTTACATATATTTGAAACTCAAACTACTTGGCAGGCTTGCATGGCTAAAAATACATTCGCAGACATATGTGATATGTGATCGAAGAACAAGATTGCGACTACTGGTATTAACCGAGAGATTACTTTATAACTTATTTATCTTCTAAACCGTTCTCCACATATGTTTTAGGAGTTAAAATCCATGTAAACTAACATGGTCTTCGTTTTTGTATCTTTTGGAGATTCCATTGTGAAGAAAGGGCATTAGGTTTTCGATTCTCCTTTTGTTAAAGGTATGATTCGATTTTTTATTAGAGCATGATTATATGTAGTAAATATGATTGGGGTAATATATGAATTTTATATTATTAATTGTATTGGAATTGATGAAT